ACCTTACAAAACAAGGAATCTAATCACTACGTGATATTTAATTTTTTTTATTAAAAAAAAATACTCTGACATGTCAACTTCCAATGGCTTGTAAACAAAGAATTAATTAACAGAATGACTTCTAACTTTGCATGTGTTCTCACGACAGATGTACCACCTTGTGAAAAAAAAAAATTTGGAGCTAGTAGTGCTATTTCTTTGTGAACACTACTCACTTTTCAACCAACCTGTATTTATTAGTGCTTGATTTGTGTACTGGAAAGGCAAAGAATCAGATGGAATTTAAAATTGTATTATATGGGAAGCGGGTATGGCAATATACGAATGTCCTAGTAATGCAACCAATCGAGTTTGGTTGAAATTGGTAGAGCAAAAAACAGCTTTTTACGAATGAAACTAAAAATAAAATGGAAAATAAAAACATATATTTAATAAATATTTAGTTGAAATAAAAACAAAAATAAATAAAAATAACATAACAAAATTCTACAAAAAATTATAAAATAAGTTGCAGTAAAGTGAAAAACAGGATATTAGAAGATTTGCAAATAAAAGAAATACAGATTTAAATAAAAAAAATCGAATGAAATTAAATAGAAAAAAGTAAAAAAAAACAAAATAAATAATTTAAAAAAATCAATAAAATATAGAATAATATGGTGATACATACGAATGTATGTACATATATATGTAACATATATAATGATATTTGTAAATACATACATGAGGGCACAATAGACCATAGGTCGCGGTGCATGCCTCAAAATTAATCTAAAAATACATACATGTATAAAGTTATTGTATAATGCGACATGCAAGCCCCGACAAATGAACGAGAAAACTTAAGACGATAGACAAAAATGTTTACTTTGCTAAAAAATTAATTTAAATAAAAAATTTAAAAATTTAATAAAGTAAAATATACAATTTAATAAAATAATAAAATAAAAAAATAAATAATCGGTAAAACAAACAAAACCAGAAAAAATAAATAAAATAAATGCTAAAATTAAACAAGTAAGGAAGGGCTAAGTTCGGATGTAACCGAACATTTTATACTCTCGCAAAGTCAAATAGTATACTCGTTTGAGATTTCTTTGTGGATTGGCTGATATTTTCGGTAGAAGGTCAACTATAGGCACTGGGGTCCACATATTTAGTACTTAGGGGCTTAAACAGTTTTGGTTCGATTTAGACAATTTTTGGTCACACGGTGGCATACTTTAAACGTATTATTCACGCAAAGTTTTACCCCGATATAATCATTGTTGCTTGATATGCATAGTGGAAAGTGAAATAATCAGATGGAATTTAAAATGGTGTTATATGGAAAGTAGGCGTGGTTGTAGTCCGATTTCGCCCATTTTTGCACTGTGACATAGAAACATGAAAAGAACGTTATGCACCGAATTTGGTTGAAATCGGTTAAGCAGATCTCAAGATATGGATTTTCACCTAAAAGTGGGCTGTGCCACGCCCACTGTCTAATTTTGAACGCGGTTCCTATAAAGTCATCTCATACCATCCCAGAGATAAAATTTAATGACTCTGGCGTGTTTAGTGCTTGATTTATCGCGCTTTTAGTAGTTTTTAACAGTACCGTTATATGGGGAGTGGGCGGAGTTGCCACCCGATTTCAACTATTTTCACACCGTCAATAGAAGTGCTAAAAAGATTTGCTTCCAGTGAATTTTGTTATTATAGCATTAGCGGTTTAGGAGATATGCACATTAAACCTATTAGAGGCGGGACCACGCCCACTTTTTTAAAAAAAATTTTAACTGCAGATGCCCCTCCCTAATGTGATCCTGTGTACCAAATAACAGTCTTGTATCTTATTGCGGAGCTTAGTTATGGCAAGTTATTTGTTTTTGATTAATGGCGTTTTGTGGGCGTGGCAGTGGTCCGATTACGCCCATCTGCAATACCAACCGTCTCACGGTACCATGAAACATGTCTACCAAGTTTCATAAAGATATCTCAATTTTTACTCAAGTTAGAGCTTGCACGGACGGACAGACGGACGGACGGACAGACGGACAGACGGACGGACGGACAGACAGTCACCCGGATTTCAACTCGTCTCTTCATCCTGATCATTTATATATATATAACCCTATATCTAACTCGATTAGTTTTAGGTGATACAAACAACCGTTAGGTGAACAAAACTATTATACTCTGTAGCAACAGGTTGCGAGAGTATAAAAATTTGAACTAAAAAAAATATGTACATAAAAAATTAAAACGTGTAAATAAGAATCAACCAAATTAGATCAAAAAGCTTGTTATCAAAATTACAAAAAAAATAATTTTACATGTTTTTAAACAATAACCTTGTATAAAAAAAAAATTAAATGCTATGATAAAATATAATGATTAATACATTAAATTATATCTGATTCATCAAAAAAAAATATTAAAAAATAATAATTAGAGGAATATTAAAAAGGTAAAAAATAATAATAATATACGTATGTATAACAAAAGAAATATTTATCGATAATTACTAAAGTAAGTATTTACAAAATAGACAAATGTACATATGTACAAAACAAATCAAAAAACAAATTATTTTCTGCAAAACTTCAAAAATATTGTCCACCAACCCTGTTTGTATTAGCAGTTATTTATAGAGAAGCGCCGTGGCCCACTTTTGTCAGCAAATCATAGAAATACCATGCATTATATTAACATTTGCAGTTCTACAAGTATACTACTGTCAAATGTCGCCGTTTGAAAGAAATAATAAACACAGTTTGAGCTGAGCTGCTGGTAGACAACACACAAGTTGATTATTATCTAAGCTTATAGTTATGAAAATTACACGAAAGTATGCTTCAGAACTAGCGCAACACGCGCCGCCGACTTTCGCTATTTCTAATGGTACCGTTAGATTGTTGCTTGAAAACGATTACGTGTAGCTTGGTATTGCCTTTTTTCATATTTGAATATCGTATTTTTAGTTTTTCTGACTAATTTCATTATATTCATTATTTATGGTTAGCAACCTACACTTTAGCACGACATGTGTGTAACTGCAACGCAATGACGGCTATGAAACGGCGTACTAGTTTGACGCGCTGCTATTTTTTTTAACAAAAATGTGTGTGCAGTTTTGTTCAACTGCTTTCAATTTAGTTTTTAGTATTTTTTCGAAAATACCTGGTTAGCACTAAAATGATACGCCATTACACGTTAACAGTATGCGCCACAAGGATTGGTAACGATAAATTAAAATAATTTCTTAACTAAAACTTTTATTTTGTGTTATGCGCTTCAGAATTTTTTATTGAATAATATTTTTTTACTGTCAAGTAATTGTTCTTTTCTATTTTTTATTTTTTTACGTTTCAGTTTTCGCTTTGCGTAGAGTTGCTGAAAAATTAATTCACATTCAGAAGATTTTGTTTGTACGCCGATAAATTTTCACTGTAAAATGCATAGCAAAGGAAAAAACAACATAGAAAATGCCAGGACAACGTAAAGTAATCAAAGTTTTAGACAAGGAATTTATGGTTGCCAGGAACCTAGTTGTTTACGCATGTTTGCTGGAATGTTTCCAAACTGCGATGCATTGTTATTAATATAAGTATGTAGTATATAAGAAGACATATTTTGCTCGCAGTAGCAGTTGATGAGTTGAAAAAATAAATAAAATAAATTTCAAAGTTAAAAAAAAACAAAAAAAAAAACGTTAACGTTGATGGCACTGAACCTATAATACTCTACACAAATAAAAAAAATGCCATACAAGTTGTTTTTTAAGGTTCAGTTTGTATAGCAGCTATATGATATAGCGGTCCGATCTGAACAATATATTCGAAGATTGTAGCATTGCTATGGATAATAATCCACGCAAAACTTTGTAAAGATATATTGTCAAATAAAAAAGTTTTCCATACAAGAAATTGATTGTGATCGGTCAGTTTGTATGGCAGCTGACCAAGGGGCGCTAATCTGATGATGCGCAGTGTATATATTTTCTAGAGTCATTTCGGTTTCCTTTTAGGTGTTACAAACGTCGTGGCAAACTTAATATAAACAAGGTATAAAAAATAAAATATGTTACAAAAAAAATAAATTTAAAAAAAAATAAAACTATAAAAAATTCAAAGTTTAAAATAAAAATACAATAAAATTTAGATTCAAAAAAATTTTTCTGAAATTTTCAGAAATCAATTTAATTGCAAAAAAAATAAAAATAAAAAATTTGTTCCAACCGCTTTGCAACAAGGGAGAAAGTCACGAAATGGCTTTTATTGCTGTCATTCTACATTTTCTAGTACCTATGTATTTGTTTTTGCTGCTTTGGCAATATGCTTTAACCTTTTCCCAACCCGCTCTTCTTATTTTGCTATGGCTTCTAGTGCTCAAATATTGGTTCTTGCCCGCTCTGCGGGTTTAGCATTCAGGCCGCAGGTGGCCAATGGCGGCAAATGTATGCATTAAATGCAGATTGTTGTAAGCAGCAGCTGCGGCTTCTTTCTGAGGATGTAAGCAATATTTCATGCACGATTTTTTATTTCATACGGTTTTATTGAAACATATTTTGAAGCAAAATAAAGCTGGCTTTACAGTTAATTGTAGCTATTTTACTATTTTTCATACGAACAGCCGCCAAAAACGTGGCAATTTACTTAATGAAGGTTCTTTCGATTGTGAATTTACATCTATTAACTTTGAATCGAAAAAAAAGCAAAACACAAATCGCTTATAGTAAGCTGTTAAGCGCCAAATAGCGTTTACAGAATTTATCTAATTATCTGCACATACTTTATGTTTTTTTTTTGCATAATCAGGAGTTTTTGCTAATTGTTAGCATATGTTAAACATTGTTTTTGCGTATATGCATCTTTTTCTGTACAAAATATCACACTAATTCTTAACATACGCCTTACGTAAGTTTCCCGTCGATATTCAGTTATCGATTTTGCGATTAAAACTTCACCACCATTGCCTACACGAAAGCAGCCGTTAATTTTGTAAACAAAGGCATATAAAGTAATTAGTATTTATTATGAAAACCTTAAACGTATGTAGTAAATTAAAGTTATGTATATACATTAATGTTATAAGTATAAAGTGAAAATTTAAAAATAAATGGTATCACAATGCAGCTAAAATTATTGGCAAGAAGAAAGTAGAGTTTGCAACTGATTTTTCCAAATAATTAATTGATCATTAAACCAGCGTTACAACAAACAAATCGTCGCATACTTTATGGCGTTTCCAGCACATGATTCAAGTACGCTATGTAGCATATAGCCAACTTGAGAATTTCGATTTTTGACAACTTCTTATCCGGCGGCAGTGTGGGCAGTAGCTTACGCAATTCCGCGAAACTGACATTGAACGCTTCGACGCGTATGCGTTCGCGTGTTGCATGCGCCGTGCGATATTTTAGCGTGGCACGTCGCCGACGGCGGCGCTCTTCACGCGACAGACCCACCAATTCCGACGGATCCAGATGCGCTATCGGTGTTGTGCGGCGTCGTGGTGCTGGTGTCGGCGGCGGTGGTGGCGAAGCCTGTGGCATGGTCTCACAAGCCATACGCGCCTGAAAACGTCGATCTATATCCAAAACATAATCAGGATTTTCAGCGCTACCATTGAGATCGTGCAGATAATAGCGACCCAGGGAGATGCTTTGTGCGGGCATCATATGCGTCATATCGTACACCATGTTGACGCCAAACGGGGTTTAATTACTGCATTGGAGAAAGAGTAACATGGATGTTGATTAAAAAAATATGTTTACCAGAAAAAAAGATATTTTATAAAGTAACTTGACACACCCACTTAATTTGTGTTTAAACAGCATGCATATAAACGCCCACCACACTTTTGTAATATATGCATGCCACAGGCGTTATTTACGCCAGTTCTTTTGCTTAAGGGTTTACGCCTTACCCCATTAGTATTTAACAACTTATATTTATATTTTGCTTTGTATGTTTTTTGTTGTTGTTCGCGCGTGTGTCAACATTCCACCCCTTTCGTTTATTTGGCGTGTGCTTAAGTATTCTCTAACTAACCACATTATATTTGTTATTGTTATTATATTTCCGCATTCTTTTATTATCGGCACATATTTTCACACCTAGTCAAATAATAGGAAAAACGTATGGGGTGTGCGTTGTTGATATAACGGTACAGAAGAATTTATTTTACAACGCACGTTTCGCAATTTGCAATAAAAATTTAATATTTATTAAATTGCATGATGTGACTGAAAGAAGGCCTCATAAAGAGATATTGGATTCACAAATTTTCAGTATTGGCATATTTTATTGCAGGAAACGAACTTCGAAATGAGATTTGTCTTGCATTTAACGCGGATTTGCCGACATAACCTTAAAAGCAACTTTTATTCTGCATCTCCTAAAATATTTATTTTCTGCACACATCTTGCAACCAGACATCATCTGATTAATTGTACTTGCTCTTATGGAATTTTTATTTTTCGAAAAAATATTACGGGTAATTAAATACAATTATTTGGAGCTCATTTAATGACTTATAGCAAACAACCTCAATTTATATTACAAATGGATCGCAATTGATAAAATTCGTTGTTTTATATAAAGCTTGAATAGTCAATAACTCAACTTTGAGCGAAAACGAACAACAGTGCGTATGAGCAACATTATTTTTGTTATCGTTTGATAGTTTGATTAGTAAATGTTTAGACAATTAGGATAGAAAGAATTAGGTCTGTATCTTAACTGCTAGTAGCTGCTAGCTATTACGGAGAAGAAAATTTACAGTTACTTTCACAAACAGCGAAATAAAGAAAAAGTAAAGAAACGGAAAACTAGCAGAAACTAGCAAATATCAAAATATTGTTTTTTACAATCCCTTCATATTAACACTTGAAAATCAATCAATTCATTTTTGCACAATTCAAAATGATTAAAATAAACAAAATCAAAGTTAATGAGGCAAATGCTCTCTTCTATTAATTTTTGTTGGTTTTTTGGGTCAAGAAACGCTTTTCCAGCAGAAACATTGCCAGCTAGCGATAGTTTGCAGTTAAGATACAGACCTATTGACACAAAGAAAACTATAATAAAAAGAAAATTAAAAATATAGGAATTTTGTTTTATTTATCGAAAGCATATATATTATTATTTTTGAACATTTTCTTAGTGTGTAAATAAAAAACCAAGAAAAATGTCGAATTTTAAATTATATTAGATTATAAATCTGTTACTTTATTTATAAAAAAATATAAAGATTTACAATTTTTGGAATTTTCTTTTTTAATAATCTTTTCAACTTAAATATGTAAATATAAGAATTTTTGTATTTTTAAATTATGTCTGTTATAACTTTGTTGTTAGAATATATAGATTCAGACACTTTGGAGTTTACTTCTCAACTGAAATAAATAAAAAAACTGTTTTTCGAATTTTAGCATAATTTTAAATTAAAACGCGGTTGTTAATTTTTGTTTTTTAAATATATTATTTCAGACCTTTTCAACTGAAATAAAATTAATTTTTTATCTGAATTTCAAGAATATACTAGATTGTAGCTCTGTTGTGTTATTTACCAAAATAATATAGTTTTAGGCCTTGGGAAATTTCTTTTCAACTGAAATAAATAATTATTTCTTCGAATTTTGAATTATATATATTGTTTATTTATCAAAAATGTATATATTTATAAAAAAAACTTTTGAATTTTAAAATTTTTGTAGGTTATTTTTTCCCGTAAGTTTTACTGTCTGCAGTATATGTAATGTTAATATATTACAAATCATGCCTAAAATATTATATTTTTTCTCAAAAATATTTTCACTAAACCGTTATTATTATACACATGCTTTATTTTCATTACCTTCAAATAAATTCTAATTTTATTCACTCTATGTTGCCCGCTACATAAGATTTTTTCACTTGTCATTAAATTATTTCAAAATACGCCTCTCCGTTACTTCCTACGCTCCGCGCTTGTTCGCGACGAAATTAAAATGTTCTATATCCTTGCTCGCACAGCATCTTTTTATATGCAACTTGTCTACACACACCAAAAAATCAGTTGTTGTTGTTGCTATAACACTGTGTAAATGGGGTTGCTTTTTGTACAAGCATACGCTCAAGCCAATAGGCAACAGCTGTGTCTCATACAACAACAACTTAAAAGGGATGCTGTTTATAATTAGAGAGGGAGGCATTGGTGTAGAGAAGGAAAAAACATAAAATGGCGTTTTCGTTAACACCTCCAGGATTACAACAAATATGTTACCATATTCTAGTTTATTGATTTTTATAGAGTCTTTTTATACCCTAAACAATGTATTTACCATATATTAATTTTGCCACGATGTTTGTAACACTCAGCAGGAAACGTTGGAGATCCTAGAGTATAAATATAAATGATCAGCGTGAGAGCTGAGTTGATTTAGCCTTGTTCGTCTGTTTGTCCGTTCGTTTGTATATACGCGAACTACTTTATTTTTTTTGAGATATCGATCTGAGATTTGCACATAACCTTTTCTCCATAAGAAGTTGCTAATTTTCCGAAACCGCCGATATCAGACCGCTATAGGACATATCGACAAAAATCAGGTCCTTGTATGAGCAACTTTTTTGTTAGACAAGATATCTACATTTAATTTGGCATGGATTATTGTGCTAAGTAACGGTTACGAACTAATTTGCTTCGCTATTAAATCGATAATCGGAAATGTGTGTAATCGATTACATAAGCATTCATTTCAATTTCACCACGATTCGTTACGATTTTGCTTGAACATTTAAATTTTGATTTTCATACAAATTTAAATGGTAAATCAGTTGTATACAAAGATATTTCGTTTAAACTAAAAAAATTAAAAAATTGTGTAAAATATATGAGCAAAAATGGCAGACAACAACATCGAAGCTTCTTTAATGACTAATGCGCCTTCAACCAGCAATTTAGAGTACAAATTCTCAGATAGAGTTTTGGCACAAATACGCGAATGTCGCAACAACAATCAATACATTGATGTGGTTTTCACTGTGGGCGAACGCCAGAAGCGGTTGGAAAGCATGTCCTTTTGTGATTATCTAATTTTATATTGAATATTTTCATAGCATACCGGCGCATCGTCTTATACTAGCGGCGTCAAGTAGCTATTTTCAAGAGCTCTTTACCACGGAAGCGGAAACCAGTGAAATCTCGTTGAAACATATCGATGCCAACAGCTTTGAAACCTTAATAAATTATTGTTACACCGGCAGCTTATCGCTCGATGAGCGCGCAGCACGCAAACTGGTGGTCGCGGCAAAAATTTTGCAATTCAATGAAGTTGTGCGCTATTGCAGCCGTTTTATAGTGAATAAATTGAGTTATGCTAACCTACTGGATGTCATTTCCTTCGCTGATGATCACGGTTGTAAAGATTTGCGTGCTAAGGCATTCGGCTTTGCGATGGAACATTTCAAAGAGGTGGGAGACAAGAGTACAAGTATATATAACATAAACAAGTGTATTACAGCTTCGTTGCAGCCGAAGTTAACGTGTATTTTTTAATAAAAAAATTCCCAACAACAGGTACTTACAAACGGAGAACTGTTGCGCTTTAGCCCCGCGCTCATGGAGGAGTTGGTGGAGAGCGATGAATTGAATGTGTACAGTGAATCAGATGTTTTTGATGCCATCATGCGTTGGTATAAATATGATGAAGAAAATCGACGCCCCTACTTAATAAATTTGCTTTCATTGCTGCGCATCACACAATTAGAGCCAGCCTTTGTTTTCAAGCACATCAAACCAATACCGGGTAGTGACCGTTTAATATTAGATGCATTGGATTGGTTTCATGTGCCCGAAACGCGTTGGCAAACTAAATTGAAGTACACCAAGCCACGCAACTCACGCAATTGTCTCATGGCTGTGGAGGTTAATATCATGGATGAAAGCGTAAGTTGGCAACGATTGCTGTGCTAGTGTAATTTTATAATTTATGGTCACCCCACAACAGAAGCGCTTTCTGCGTTACGATCCTATAGCAGATTCTTGGGCGCGCTGTGGTCAAGTTTTAGGCGAGAAAACCGATTACGGCACAATATTCGTGAAGAATTCGCTCGTCTTCATCGGCAATAAATATATAGTGCGTTTCGATTTGGAAAAACAACAGTGGGAGACACCACAACCGGTACGCAAGCGACGTGAATTGATTTGTGTGGCTGTGTTGCAAGATAATATATATTTAATTGGCGGATATTGCAAGATGACCAAAAACACAGTCGAAATGTAAGCGAAATATAAAAAAAATAGTAAGATGAAATATAATTTTAAATTTTATTGTATCTTAAAAGGTTCGATTTGCGCACAGGCGATTGGCTGCGTGTAGCACCGATGTTAGAAGGCCGATACTGTGCAAAGGCGGTGGTGCTCGACGAGCGCATCTATGTTATGGGCGGGTCAGAGAACGAATGCGCGCTCAACTCAGTCGAGTGTTACGAACCGATGTTGGATACATGGGAAGCACGCGCCTGTATGATAGAAGCGCGTGCTTCTCCCGGTGTAAGTGACTTACAGTTAATTGACTCAGCTTTAATTTATATAGTAAAAACTTACAGGCCGCCGTCGCTCATGGCTACATTTATGTTTTGGGTGGTTACAATGATTCACCACTGGACACAGTCGAGCGATTTAATCCTGTTAAAAATGAGTGGATTAAAGTTTGTACTTGCAGAATTATTGCAACATTATAAGCTATTCACTTTGCTATTAAAGGTTTGTTCGCTGACAACGGCACGTAGTCGTATTAGTGCGGTCGTATTCAATTATCATCTACTGGCTTTGGGTGGCACAAAAAATGGCGAAGGAGTAAACTGCGTAGAGGAATATAATGTGGACGCAGATAAGTGGGTGTTGAAGGCACCTATGCCCAACGGTGCGGCCTATAGTTCCTTTGTAGTGCCGACACATTTGGCGGATCAATTGCAAACCTTTTTGGCCGATGTAAGTCAACCCGCACATTAAACAGACGTTTTAAACCACTACAACAGTAAATATTTTCATTAAATCACGCAATTAATTTAGATTTTACATACTTTAAGATTATTTATTTGATCATTTATTTATGCCTTTAAAATATTGTAGTTAACGCCTACTGTAAAAGAGCGCATGAAATTTTAAATATACTCGCATATATATGCCATATTTTTTCATTTATTATATAAAATTAATGTTGCTGCTGCTACTCTCAAGTTGCCCTTGCACTTTTCGACAGCGTCGATCAGTTGTTTTGCGGCTTTGACCATTCCACATTCAAAATCAAATGATCATAACCGTGTCCATTGAGAATTTCAATAGCAGCGGCGGCATCCTTGCGTTGTTTGAAGTGCACATACGCAAAACCTTTGCAGAGACCGGTATTCTTATCGCGCGCCAAATACATTTTACTGTGTTGCCCAATTTTCTTTACCAACTCATCCAAATCGGCCTCAGTCATCGATTCTGACAAGTTAGAAATGCGGATAGCGGCGGTGTCATCACGTCCACGCATACCCATACCACCTTTTTGACTGTCCTTAAGGTATGGTGGCACATACTTGCCAGTTTTGGGTGCTTCAACCACGGCTGTTGCAGCGGCAGCCGCTTTCTTCTCCATTAAATTCGTATCCATGGCGGTACCCTTGTATGGGCAATTAACTGACCAATGCTCACCATTACATATACGACACTTGGCAATGTTCTTAGTGGGATCGAGTAGTTGATCGTTGGCCTTCTCTTCTTCCTTTGAGTTGAGAAACTGCATGAAAATTTCTTCGGACACCATGGTAGTCTGTGAGTTTGGACCGGGTTTGTCGTTCTTTGAGTCACCAAATTTCGGCCAAGTGCGTCGTTTGGCTACGGTTTTAGGCACGACTTGCTTGGAAATTTTATAGGTGCGCACAACTTTTGTCTTTTTGTCATCTTTATTGTACTTATATTCTGTAACGTATTTGTAGCCGTTTTCAACTGTCTCTGCGGTAGGTGGCAGGCCGCCGTAGTCGAGCTCCACCTCATCGGCCCAAGAGGATTTAATCGTGTCAACACCAGGCATCTAAATCGACAATAGTTGATATTAATGAATAGATATTGTGGAATCATACAATTGAATCAATAATTTCACCTTATTTGCGAATATTTAAGAAGAAAAATCAGATAATACACACGCCACGAGTTAAACAGCGAGAATTATATGAAAAAGGAACGTCAACACAAAATGACAAAACTTGCTGTCAAATGTATTTTGGGAGGCGTATGGAAAGTGTAAAGCGCCGTGTTGGGTAATACCAGAGAACGTAAAATACATATACGTTCTCTGGTAATACATTCACAAATCATAATATTAATGTCTAATAATTGAGTTAAATAATTGCTCATGAAATTACATTTTATTTGTGATTTGTCTTTGTTTTTAATGAAATAAAATTCAATGTTTTTTGTATAATTTTTTTTGTGTTCATAGAATTAGAATAATTTTGCCATATGAAAGAGTTTGAATATGATAACAGTGCTGGTGAATGTAAAACTGAAATAAGAAGCAGCACTTATGAGAAGAAGCAAACGGTAAATTGAATCAGCCACTAATTTATGGCATAAATTTGTATCATACGCTTACGTTTTAAATAAACATTGAATAAAATGTCTGCGAATACTACAACGCCCACATCCACCAGCAATGTGAGCTCCATATCGCCAAACGGCTCTGTCAGCGGTACAGAAGATATACAATATTTACTCTATTTAGAAACTTTACGTCGCTTTCGAGACGATGAGATTAATATTAAGCGCCAAGTGGACGAAAAAACGCGACAGTATTTGGAAGTTAAAGAGGATTATTTACAATTGTACGCGAAATATGTGAAACTTACGACATTGGCAGCCACACGTTGCGCGCTGTTAACAGACACCCAATTGCCTTCCGATAAAATAGCCTCCGCGGATAAGGAGTTATTAGCCATTACACAAAAACTGGCTACCGGTGATGTAGTGGAAATGATTAGTGAAACTGCAGTCAAAGAGTGCAAGGATAAATTGGAAGCTTGTGAAGCACATGAATTAAAACAATTAAGCCATGAATTAGCCGAGAGTAAAGCAACAGTGCGTGCAGTACAATCCTCAACCGAAACAATCGAGGCCACTATTGAGACTGCTACACTGCAAAGTCTTGACTACTTTGTTGAAGAAGTTGGCAATAGAAGTTGAAGTAAAATAAAACACACACACAAAATTGCATTATTTAACCACCGAATATAAATTCAATGGCTGCACTTTATTAATAGCGTGCTGATTTGAATTTTATGATTGATTGATGGAAGGATGACATAGAACGCGCGCATTTCAATCATAGTTTCTATCATTTTTAGCGGTGGAGCGGAAAAGAGAATAAATAAAGGCGGGGAAAATCATCATATAATTTGGCATTAGGGTAACTAAAGCGCTATTGTTTGAATACAGTATTTTTGTTTAAAATTATTTGTGTATATATGTATCGTAATGTTTGTACTAAGTTAAAAAATTGCAACTTGAAATGTAATATGCTTAAGATTTACCACTTGGAGCGCTTAGACCAATCTTTAGGCGTCCAATGTAGGCATTTGGAGTCGATGCGTATTTTACGTTTATCCATGGCTTTCTTATGTTGATCAATAATGTCGCGACTTATACAAACGATGTACTGGCCCTTGTAATAGTTAATAAGATTTAAATTTTGTAATGTAGATATAACATCCTCCTTTTTGATGGAAGTGCATTCACAAATATCGCTGGGAGAGATAAATAAATATAATTTATGTAAAATACTAAGAAACTGTGTACATACTTGATGGTAATGGTTGGCTTCTCTCCATCACTGTTAGGCTTTTGGCTAATAAAAATCTCCAAAATTGTTTGTGCCCAATACGAACGATATGAAAGTAAACCTAAATCTGATAAAGGTTTTTCGGGAGAACCAGTTTTTCCCTCAAATTTCGACAATTCGTAGCTAAACTCAATTAGCAGCTTGCCGTAACCCTTGCGCTGATATGGAGGCATAGTCAGTATACAAGCTACGTTGTAGTCTTCCGTACTCTCTTTTTCTTTTGAGAAATAGCCAACTATATGAAAACCGCGTGAATCGAATTCAGTCATAACATAAAAGAGGAACGGATCCGTGTCATAGTAAAGTGTTTTATGATCTAGAAACAGTTTAGCTAGTAGACATAAATTCTGTGCATACACCTTGTTTTTACGGCCGTCAATTTCGAAAAAGGAAATAGTGTGTTTGCGATATATTTCATTACCGGGAGGATGTCGAAGGTTACATTTGACTAAATGCCGCTCCAGGCATTTACGACTTTTGCGATATTTCAGGCAGAACTCACAAATGTAGATACAAGGCATTTGACATAATTCCTAACCGAAAACAGTTATTTACTTTATTTTATACCAAAATTTAAGCAAATTTATTACCTGCGGATACGGGGAGAAATACCAGGGTTTTATGCGATGTTTACCCAATTCTATCATTTCAACATTTTTCATACGCGTCACTACATCATCCTGATGTATGACCATGCTACCAGACTGGCGTGGTGTTGCGGTTTTACCATCTTGTGAGGCTTCTTCAACTACTGTTACTGGTGCCGGAGTTGTGGGTACTGCTGCTACTGGTATTACTGGTACGGGTACTATTACGGGCGGTGGTGTTTCAGGCACTACAACAGCCGGTGGAGCAGGTACAGAATTGAGCTATATTATAAATTGCATGCAGTTAATTTGTATGCTTTTAAGCAAACTCATTTTTGCAAGCACCTTTCTTTTACGGTTAATTTTTTTCTGTAGTGCAGCGGCCAGCACAGCGTTGCCATTAACCATTTCATTGCTTGCAGCTGGTTGTGGCGAAGTTGGTCTCGAAACGCTACCCGGCACCGACGAGTGATGTTTCTTTGGTGTGGTTACGCCTGTGCTGGCACCTGTCTGTGTACCATCACGTCTTGGGAATTGTACTTTCCGTGTATCAACGTCCTCCTCTGTAACCCATTCGTCTAGACGTTTATTAACTGAAATATATATGTATTATTGAGCAAAATGCACACTTTGTTATTCATTATTCCGTTATCTCATTACAATCGACGTAGTGCACATAGAACTGTCGCTTGCCATCATGGTCTTTAATGCTAACAACTTCTGCAAGTGGCCAATCTTCAGTCTTGTGCATACGCACGGGTAATCGGCATCCTTCGGTTAGTGCGGCCTGAAATTTAAAATTAAGCCATAAAACATGAGCAACTGCATCCATCACCGCCGTTAGCTAAGGTGCTTATTATTTTGTTGCCACACTAACTTACCGTGGACTCACAGATCGATGATACATCTTCGTCGAATTCTATTTTTTGTGTTATTTTCATCCTTTAAATACGTAGGATCGAAATATTCGCTGAGTTTTAAGATAAATTGTTTACAAATTTTCTAGTTTTTACAATGCTTCTTATTTTTTAGTTGACCATTCACAATAAGAGGCCAGCAGATATGCGATAAAAATTATCAAGTGACTTCATAACATTTATTTTAGACACTTACATATTTTAACACATTTTTACATCACAAGCACAAAAAGAATAATTCAGCAATTTTGTAATAAAACTATGAATACTTATAATTAAAACCATTTTTGTTTATTTTTATAACACCATTAGCTCCTCTGGCATCACCCTAGTTAACAGCTGTGAGTAACGACAGAGATGCCTTCATCTAGTAGACACGTGTTTACATTTTCTCCGCTCACAATTTAATCCATTGGCTTTGAACCAAGCCAATTTGAAACACACATAATCTAAATATTACAATATTTTATCAATAGAAAATACAGTATTTCTGATTAAAGAAAATGGGTCGTAACAGAAAATCAAATCCTTTTGCTGCTAAAAAACGTCAAAAGCGCGAGAACGTAAGTAAACTGTTGATTTTGAGTTTGGTCTCGCTATATAATTAAAAATCATTAAATAGCAGGGAGTCGATCCACGACCAGTACGTCAAGAGCCCTATGAGGATATCAAACGTGATAATGAAGCTTTCATCAAATACTATCAACTACAAAATATATGTGCGGACGAAGCGGAATGGCAGGAGTTTCTTGCTAAGATACGCGATAATTTACCTGTTACATTCCGTGTAACCGGCTTTCGTGGTGAGGCAAAGGCCTTGCTTGACATAATCGAGAGCGACTTGTTTGCCGATTATGTGAGCAGCGTCGCTGAATTGCATAGTATTGCGAAAGAAGAGGTGGAACGCCCACAACGGCTACCATGGTATCCAGATGGATTGGCGTACCAACTGCAATTGACGCGCAAAGATATACGCCGTTCGGAGCCACTGTTCCGTTTGCACAATTTTCTGATAACTGAAACAAATGCCGGTAGCATAAGTCGTCAGGAAGCTGTGTCTATGATACCACCGCTTGTTTTAGATGTGCAACCCACCGATAAAGTGCTGGATATGTGCGCTGCGCCGGGTTCAAAGACGGCACAACTGATTGAAGCGCTACATAGTGCGCCGGAAAAGCATAAAATACCACCGGGTTTTGTTGTAGCCAATGATGTGGATAACAATCGTTGTTATATGTTGGTGCATCAGGCGAAAAGGCTAAATTCGCCGTGTTTTCTAGTGACTAATCATGACAGCAGTTTCTATCCGAATTTATTGGTACGTGGAAAATAAAGTACAAAAAGAAAATAAATAAATAAATATATCAATATTTACAGCAAACGGAAGCAGATGGCAGCAAATCAATTTTGAAGTTTGATAAGATTCTATGTGATGTGCCATGCTCGGGCGATGGCACACTACGCAAGAATCCCGATATTTGGACGAAATGGAATTTAGCGCAGGCTTACAACTTGCACGGGTAAGCTTAGATAATATTTTTACAGCGCTAAACAAAATTTTAAAATACTACTTTTTTCTAGCATACAGTATCGCATTACAAGGCGTGGCGCTGAAATGCTTAATGTCGGTGGTCGCTTGGTCTACTCCACATGCTCGTTAAATCCCATTGAAAATGAAGCTGTACTTCAGCGCATTATTGCTGACGCTGATGGCGCGCTGGAGATAGTAGACGCAGCACATATGGTACCCGGCTTAAAGTTTAAACCTGGCATGACGAGTTGGAAGCTCGCCACTAAGCAAGTCGACGAAATATTTACAAGTTTCGATGAGGTGCCTGACAAGTATCATACGGTCCTACGACCAAATATGTTTCCACTGCCGACGCAGCAAATCAAGAAAATCGGTTTAGAGAAATGCTTGCGTGTCTTGCCGCATTTACAAAATTCTGGCGGTTTCTTTGTTGCTGTTATTGAGAAGCGTCGTCAATTGCCCTTCGAGAAGAATGACTTGCAGACGTTGCTTGAAAAGCCCAAACTGGAAGTTAAATTGGATGAAAACGGCCAGCCTATCGAAGAGAAATCTGTGCCATGGGGACCACAACGCAAACGCCGACGTCTGCATGGCTACAAAGAAGATCCATATATATTCTTCGAGGAAGAGGACGTCGATTGGGACGAGTTGAAATCCTTTTTTGCGCTCGACGACACGCTAAATAAGCGCTGTCTGCTTACACGCTGTGTCACCGATAAGAAAAAAAACATCTATTACTGCTCCGAGCCCATACGTAATATGGTCTTGTTGAATGAAGATGCCATTAAGATTATAAATACCGGTGTGAAGACATTTGTGCGCTGTGAGAATCGTCATACAATGCATCCCTTCCGCTTGGCGCAGGAAGGTTTGCAGACGACAAATGCATTTATGGGCGCCATACGGCGCATACAGATCTCTAGAGAAGATTTAATACTGCTGCTCAATTGCACCGATCCAACTAAGCCACCGTCAACGCTAGATTTGGCGCCGGAAACGCAAGAACGTTGCAAGGAATTAGGTATGTAGCACACTTAAGTAATGATAGCTGGTTGTTTCATATTAAAACATTAATATATTTGTCGTGCAGGCGTTGGCAGCTGCATTTTAAAGTACGAAGACGCGCGTTTCACGCTTTTCCTGGTGGGCTGGCGCGGTTCCTCCAGCCTGCGTGCCTATGTGGACAGTAATGAGACAGTGCATGTTTTGCGTTTATTGGGCGCTGACATCAGCAAGTTCGGTGAGTCATACATTTATTGGATCACTAACGGAACAACAATAATATTTATGTGTTCTCATTGCAGAGGTGAACAAGTACGAGAAGGCGAAAGAAGCTGCGGCTGCTGCAGCGGCAGAGGCCGCATCGAATGCTGCTGAAGCAAAAGATACACCAGCCGTAGATCAAGACGTTGTGGTTATGGCTGCTAATGGCGCTGTAGACCTGGCGCCAGTCGCTGAATAATTTAATTAGCTAACGCACAATTACTCCATTATTAACGTTAAGCTTTAGTTATGATATTAACATATATTTTTTAATTATAAAAATGCTGTATACATACATACATATGTATGCAGAATATAAACTGCTTCGCTTTGTATCATTGCAAAATCGGTCAAACAATAATCGATAATGAATGTTTGTTCTGTAGATCTCGATGTTTTTGAGTTACTGTCAATTGGTTTACTGTAACATATCTAGTGCCGACAATAGCTTTGTAGGAACGAACTGTTGAAAAAGTGAGGTTAGTATTTATACTGGAAGGGTACAGACATAACATTTCAATACAAACCCGCTTCAGAGCACCAGTTCACTTAAAATTTACCGATCGCTAAAATAACAGAACTCAGCCGAATAAAATCCGGATCAATTCCGGTATCGTAGCACCGCCTACTATGGTAATTGTGTAAAAGCGATTGTTGTGGAAGTTGCCGACGAAAATTTCGAGTTGCCTCACCAATCTAGTGTAACCCTTGCGTAACTTCGTTCTGGATATTGTAGCAGCTTAAATTCCTATCTATCGAAAATCGCGCCCGACATACTAAATATTTGTTCTGCTTGCAACGAGTCTTCGCATGACTCTAACCACCATTTTGCAAGCCCAATATATCGCACTTATCTAACACAACGCTCCCTATGGTCCGACCTTGCCGAAACAGCAGGTTTCCTTGGTCTCCGGTTAGATGATTTCGATGACAGAGTCTTGATAAATGCTACAACAACGGCAACAACAACTCGTTCTTCGTTTTGACGGACTTCGCTTCCCCTTTTTGGTATGTTTTAATGACTCTGCCGCATAACACTTCTATAACGGTCATAAACAGAGTTGACAGACGTTGGGCGATATAACTTCGAGTCAACTTCGGTAAGAAGACTTGCAACCTATTTAAAAAATGTTATTCAATGGTTTACACCAAGCTCTACGAAAAAAGGTGAGATCCTTGCCACGACAAACGGGTATACGTAACCCGCCAACCCGCCAAAGATCGTCAACTTGACCGCATTTCGCCAAATTACTTCAGGGATGTTTTCGAGCGGTACAAAAACAATAAAAAAGGTAGGTCGATAGAATCCATTCGACGTTTTTTGCCTTTGGGCGGATCTAGAGACCAAATAATCAATAAAGTGATCGCAAATATAAGAATTAGAATATGGCGAATGTTGTAAGCAGTAGTTAAAACAGGGTGCTTTTCATTTACTTAGCAACGACTGACGTGGAAATAAAGCTTCGCGTCGCTAACTGCACGCTGAAATGAGTATTTGTGCTATTGTAACGCCTAAAAGTTGGTTGTATTTTTTAGTTAACCCGAATAAACAATGATCATAACCATTTTGCTAAGCTATGACGTATAACTAGCGTTCGTCTGAGCCGCAAATAACTGTTGTGGTGTTTGATAAACATGATAAACTTTTAGAGAATTGACTGATAAGCGTTGGAGCAGCGTAAAACTTGTCGATATTATCAACACGGCAATTAAAGGGTACAACAACAAACAGTTACGGCTGATAACGACCATGACCGGTGTCGTTCCCGGTGAATTTCCATTCCAAAACACTGATATACACCATCTAGACGTGTTTCGGATTGCAACACCTAAAATGTGGCTTTATAAATTTCTGTTCTGCTTGTACTTGGTTTGCAACAGTATTCACTATGCGGCTGTAAGCGGCGAGGTAATACTTCTAAATTTAAATGAATGTTATTTCAAACAGCTGCTAATTAACATTCACAGCCCACACCGCCGGACGCCGACTACTACATCGGTGCTGTGGTTGAGTTTCCCGCGCGCACAGTCAATGCAGCCGCCAGCACACAGGAGCGCCTGCGTCAATTCGGCATACTACTCGAGTCATCTGCCATACGTCCGGATATTGTGGTCTTTCCTGAGGATGTTTTAAATGACCACGACACTCCCATAGTGGTACCAGCGCCCAGCGATGATGTGATAACTTGCAATGCCGACGACGCTCACTACAATTATATTATCAGTAGAATGTCTTGTTATGCGCGTTCGCTGGGCTTATATGTGCTCATCAATGTGGTGGAAGTGCATAATTGCACGCAATCGCAGAATGTTAGCGATTTAGTTGCCAACTGCGCCATCTACAATGCAAATGTGGTGTTTGATCGTCACGGCGTGGTGATTTCGCGTTACCGTAAATACAATTTGATTGGCAGTGAGTGGTTGTATTTTAATTATACGTCACAACCGGAGGAGGAGGCCATATTTCGCACTGATTTCAATGTCACTTTCGGGCATTTTACACGCATGGATCTGCTGTATGCGCGTCCGGCGCAAACGCTGGTCCAACGTGGCATTACGGACTTTTTGCATCCGAGCAAATGGCAATCGGAGCTGCCATTCTTGACAGGTGAGTTGTGCGGTTTTAAGATTTCGTCATGCAAGCAATGAACTGAAGTTTTAGGTACGCTGAGTCTTAGTTAAATCTATCTAGTTAAAGCTTACGCGTTGTTGTGGTCCATAGAGAAGTTGGCACAGTGTTAGCAAATCGGCAGTGGTCAAGCTGTCAACTTCAGTAACATTCCTTGTAACGGCTCGGTTTAGCAGCCATGGTGTGACTGACTGATTCCTGCCAAAACGTTGACCAGAAATTGAGCTTAAAATACCTACAGCTTTTTGAAGCTTGAGGCACCTTAAATTGCAGTTTTCTATAATTTCCACCTATCGAGTGTTTATGAGGTGTTCAGTTTGGAGAAACACTAAGCTTCAATTAGGAATTACATTTTCTCCGGCCTAGGCGGTTACTCTTAATTTGTGCTCAGAAATTCTGTGTCTTTTGACCAATATGAAGATCCTAAGCATTTTTAATAACCAGGTCTATTAACATATCATATTATCTAACCTCAAACATCGCTCACGTCTGCTCCACAGCGGTGCAACTGCATCAGTCCTGGGCTTTCAGCAACAATGTCAATCTGCTGGTGGCCGGCACAAATGATCCAAGCAGGGGACGCAGCGGCACAGGCATCTATGCGGGCAGATATGGTGTGCTCATCGCAACCATGACCAGCGTTGAGAAGCAAAGTAAACTGCACTTGAGCGTGATACCAAAGCATAATGTCAGCAGCGAAAAGGTTTTGAAGATATTCAAGCCGCGCCAGCGCAATCTTAAAGCGCAGCTTAATAATAACAATCAAAGCGTGCTCGAACGTTTCACAGGCGTGGTTGTAACGCGTGACAATAATATTGATTTGTATGTGACACAGCCGTTAGTCGATGCGACGCAAATGAGTGGGCCGTTGCAGCAACAACTCTGCCACAATGATTTGTGTTGCAATTTTCATATAGAAATGCACGCGAATACGCTGGCTACGGCTAGCACGGTGAGCTATTACTACCGGTTGGCAGCATTTCATGACATGGGCACTTTTCTAAATACCGAACCTGATGAGTTGGCGGTTTGTGCGATCTTCGCTTGCACTGGCGATCATCTCTACACTTGTGGACGTATCTATGAGGAAGGCGTGCAGGTGGTGCCGCGGTATATTTTCGATACCATTCGTATAAGTGGCAATTTTACACGGCAGCGTCCGTCTTTACTGGCGCCAACGAGCGTTGATAATCTGCTAATGCCGCTGCCAGTAGATGAGTTCGAGTGGCAATTACAGGCGCACAGGTGAGTTTGTGGTTTGCAGTTATTTATTATATATTAATTTATGCTTTTGAAGCAACTTTACCCTGGCTAACCTCACTTTGTTACAACCGCGTTCGGAGCTCTTGACATTTGGTATTTATGGCAATTATTTTTTGAATGACACTATATACGATCATCATCAACAGAACGACGCGACCACATTGAGTTCGACTTTGTTGCTGATTTTAATTTTATTACACTTGCAAGTCAATTTATAGAATATATGGTATGTGTATGTAGTTGTTGGCAATAAAGAAAAGTTTTAGCGAAGCTGGAGGTGTCTTGCCTGTGGAACCGCAAAGAGATTCGCTGGATTGTTATACAACACACAGATTTTCGTTCTTCTTCTTTAATTGAAATTATCTCTAACTGTCATGGGCTTGACTTTGATTAGTTCTTGATGCAGTTTTTACCTTATAAGAAGCTCTGGGATACCAGAAAGAGTTTGATCTTTGGCTGAAGTCCATTCTAAGTAAGCTTTTTTCAACAACGGGTTCACCAGTCGTCTTGAAGCCTTCCTTAAATTGTTACAATCATTTTAGCTGTGTCTTGCGACCAAATTCAGAGTATTTCAAATGGACTTCAAAGGCACGCCTAAAGAGTGAGTTGGAGAGTAAAAATTCTTAGAGAAATAGTGAGGCATACCAAAGAAATTATTCTTCTGGAAAAGAGCTGCTTTTGCTTGAATAGAACTGATGGTGAATGTATTTCGCCTATTTAGTACCGAAGGAACTGTTTTTTTTTCAAAAAATTAGTATCGCCTACCTAAATTTGGTTAAGCGTAATAATTAAAGTCTACACGATATTAGAATTATGCTTCAGCCGGCTGACAAGGCCCGGTTGTGGTGAAACCCAAATAAAATTTTTAAGAAAACACAGCCTCCAGCGACCGCTGCTTCGCTGGTTTACAGCAAATCACGAAGTAATTGTTACACTCAAAAAACGGTTCATAACAGCCCATTATCCGTTCGGATGTGACTTAAAACATTCAAAGAGGCTTTCAAGAAATATTATAGAAACGGATGCAGAGCTGGGACCACTGTCCCTAGTTTAGTGTGACTGAACAATATAAACCGCGATTTTAGTTCGGTTTAGAATATTACATATACAATTTCTTAGCAACTGCGAGATTATTAAGAAAATCTTTTACGTTCGCAGCTGAACTTTTTGACTTAAAACACAGTTATTTAGAAAATGGTCGAGCTGTGTTAAACTTATTTTTGGCTTCCAGATGATTTTACTTCAGAAGCCGTTGGGAGTTTGCTGAGACTCCGTTACAATCCTGCATTGGCTGCTCGAAATAAATAATGGAGGTTTAGAAGTATTTTGTGGTTTGTGTGATACAAGAGTATTACCAAACAAAAAAAAAAAAAGACTTGCAGCACCAGAAGCCAGGCAACTTTGAGTGAAGTTCGCGGAAATCAGATGATCATACTACTATGCTCAGTTCAAGTACTTATATAAATATATTGGTTTTAACCTTGAAAAATAAAAAATCGAATCTGAATTCTAACTGAATAACTCTGTAATCTAAAATTCGTCAAATTGGAAATTTGGAAGCGAGCAAATCAATTAGATACTCAATTACACACAATTTAGGAATTTTAAATTTTTTTGCATAAAAAAATCCTATATTTCACGTATCCTCCAATAAATACACTTTTAATCTTATTAGATGCCCGAAATTTAACCTTGAAATGTTGAATGGCCTAACAGCTGGCAACTTTGTCGCACACACGCACACATAGCTGTTTCTAAATCACCTCTACAGTGGACAATTTCCGCTTAAGTGTCATAAAAAAATCAAAATAAAATCCGGCAACAACAAATGTAGTTAAAATTTTAGCAAAATTTAGTCGACTAAAAAGCACAAGCCGTTAGAACTACAAGAAGAAGAAAAATACTAAAAGTAAGCTTGTTAAGTGAGCAGGCGTAGTAAAGCTGCGGACCGACATATTTTCAACGAAATCATTTAATAATAATCACATACCCATTTACTCACAAGTGTATATGCGCTATATATTTGTTTACGAGTGCATAAACCCAGTGATAAAGAAGTGAAGACTTAAGAAAAATCAACACTGTATAAGCACTCCTCTACCACGAGCTATTTAACGGTTACTTTTGTAAGTATTTCTAAGGTGACTGAAATGGCGCCAAGTATAATAGGTGTTCTTTACTCTATATCTACATTCTTGCCGTGAGATCTCTGTACTACTCTTCAGGAACTCTTTGCAAGAACTGTCTAAAATGGCATCGGCCTATCTTCGAAATATTTCTCGGAGTCTTAAATGTCTATCTGCAAAGGAAGTAAACACTCGAAACTGGCTACAACTAGTAGTTCTCTCATACTTACTTGGCTATCGAGTAGCTGTCTCACTTTCGCACCACTCAGTGGCTTATAAATTCAAACCCCTCCTTTGAACAATGATGAGTTCTGAAATCAATTTGTAATTGTGAGCGACGAAACTTTAGCTAATAGACGTAGTTTCTAACACTCCGTCGAGGTTCAAAGCAATACAGTCTGTGTCAAGCAGTTCCGACCAAAAACGAACAAAAATATTAAGAGCAACTAGAAAGCAAGCTTTCAATCCTACGTTTACGTAACTAACAAGCATTACTGTTATTTCTAATAGTTCGAAGACTGTATAACAAGGATGTAATGTGTATCGTGTTTAAGGAAGTCGGTTTAATTCAAAGTTTTAGAGTACATAATAATGTAAAACCAGATGATTCGAGAGTTTCAGCTCTAAGGGCCTTCATTATCTTAGCGCCAGAGGTACCGTTACATAGACATACTATTTATGTGTTTGGGAAGATGGTCATTTTTGGCTTAGGGTAAGAACTCGTAATCGATTTGCAATCAGCCGTCGAGAGTAAGAGTAAGAAATTACTGCTGAGTTTGTGACGTTGGATGTCTAAAGTAACCTTAAGGACATACGGTGTCAAGGTAAAAAGATGTTTATATAAGAATGAACAATGCCAAATTTTCATGACGGAGTCCTAGGCAACTATATTGTACCTAAACAAGCGCTACTGACTTCTTTATTAGTCTTGTGGTGGTTTTGATCTATATTAAACAAGAAGTTTACACAAAACTTGAAAAATGGTATGAACTTCGAACAAAAAGTGGAATATATTTCATAATGATTTTTTTTCAATAAGCTTAAAATAATTTCACCTTCACGTAGCACCGTAGAGTGGATAACGTTACATCAGAAGAAAAAGAAAGACGTACCAGATATGGTCCAATTATCACCAGTTTTTGTACCATAGTATTTTGTGGTCGTTTGGTCATCATTAAGATCTATTTACATTCGTAGGTATGTATGTGCGTAAATCATAGAGGAAACTGTTGCATGCTGCAATTTCCGCGTTGAGTATGTGCATGCGTGTGTGCAGGTAAACGCTAACTAAAAAAATTTTAATTACCCAATAAATTTTTTCGCTGGTTTGTAGCAGTTTTTACGATTACAAGGCGGGTAGCGAAGAGTACATAACACGAGCTGCGAAAATTGCTGAAACAGCGAAACTGTAAAAATGCAATATGCGTTTGTACAGCTACATAGGTGTGTTTGTATGTGTGTAAACTGCAAGTAAGAGAACAGTTATTTCTAATTGCTTGGCTTATGCAATTGTGATGAGTTTTTGCTTTTTAGAACAAAATTTAGAGTATATGGTATATTTTGGAGCTGATTCAATCTAAGTATTGGTTGGTAAATAAAGTTATGTTAATAAAATTTTATGTAAAAAATTTTACTACGAAAAAATTTTAAAATAAGCTATAAAAAAATTGAAAAATAAAATTTAAAACTTTAGACATAACTATTAAAAAAAATTAGCTTTCAAAAATTTATTTAAATACATTTTTTATAAATAAAGTAGTATTACGAAAATTTGTATGTTAAAAATTGTGTTTGGAAAAAAGTTTAAAAATTAGTGTAATTTAAAAAAAGCTGTAAAAAAAATTTGAAAACAAATTTTGAATATACTCGTACAGTAAAAAAATTTACAAAAGATTGTGAACAAAAATTAAAAAAAAATAATAATTCAAAACAAATTTATTAAAAAAAAAATTTTTACTTTCAAACTAAAAATCTCAAAGTAAGCTATATCTATTAAGAAAATTGAATTTAATTAATAATTAATGAGCATATCTCACAAACCACTAAAGCTATTTTAACCAAACTTGCTGAGAGCAAGTCTTTTGATCAGAGTTTTACACCTGGACCATTTCAGGAAAGGATTTCAATATATAATTTTTTTCAAATTATTAATTTTTTGTATAATTTTTATACTAGAAACATGTTGGCACAGAGTATAATAGTTTTGTTCACCTAACGGTTGCTTGTATCACCTAAAACGAATCGAGATAGATATAGGGTTATGTATAATATATATAAAAAATCAGGATGATGAGACGAATTGAATCCGAGTGACTGTCTGTCCGTGCAAGCTGTATATTGAGTAAAACTTAAGATATCTTGATGAAACTTGATATACATGTTACCTGGCACGATAAGAAAGTCGGTATTGTAAATGGGCATATTCGAACTACTGCTCCGCCTACAAAACGCCAATAATGGAAAACCTAGAAATAACTAAGCCGCAAATTAAGATATAAAACTGTCTGGTGCAACGAATCGCATTATTAAAAGGCACCTCTGAGATAAAGATCTTTAAGAAGTGGCAAGTCCCCCCTTAACGTAAACAAAGATTGTGGACTTGGCTAAGTGTAAACAAAGGGGTCATTGACTCCATAAAGTGTAAACAAAGGGTTGTTGACTTGGCTAAATGTAAACAAAAGGGTCATTGACCGCATCAAATGTGAACAAAAGGGTAATTTCCCTTAAAGTGTAAACAAAGGTACCTCTATAAAAAATAGCTGCCATACAAAGAGATTGGTCAAAATCAAGTTCTTGTGTGTACTTTTTTATTTGACAAAATATCTACTAGAAATTCGCATGGATTATTGTCTAAAGCAACACCACAATCTACGAATAAATAGTTCAGATTGTAGCACTATGGCATATAGCTGCCATACAAACTAATCGATCAAGGCTTCAGTGCAGCTGAAATTAACGTTTTTTCTAGTTTAATAATATATATAGTTTTGCTTCCTTCGGTTGCATCTGAACTCAGACCTTCCTTAGTTGTTTTTTAATAATTTTTTGACAAAAGTATTTCAAAATTTATTTTGACACATTTTTTCTAAATTTACTTTTAAAGTAAAGTTCTCTAAATAAGATATTTCTATTAAAAAAATTCACTTTTATAATTTATTAAAATAAAAGTAAAACAAAAAAAAAAAAAAACACATTCAATTCATTTTTATTATTTATTTAAAATTTTTTGTTTTTTAAATTTGAATTTTCTTATTAAAAGAAAAAACTTCACTAATATATAAGCAAATCCAACTTTTGCTTATGAAAAATATCCAACTTTCAGAATCAAGTAATTGAAGTCGAAAAAATGTGTAAATAAAAATCATTTAATAGGACAAAAATGAAAATGAGAACGGACGAAACATTTCTCTTTCAAATTTCGTTTCAAAGCTGATTTTGAAAGAACACTTTGACTAAACACAATAGTGTTAATAGCTTTAGGCCATTCAAAGCAGTTGCCGCTCCGCTGGTTTGCTGCGCTGGCAACAATATAGGATCCAAATTGTGTTGATTCACTTTGTTCAGAAAATAATTGCTCCAAATGCCGAAAGTGAGCAAATCCAGTTTCGGCGATAACAGACTAATGGTTACATCAGTGAGGTTATGTCTAAAAATAGAAGTTTTGTTGTTGTATTTCACATTCTACTTAACAAAATTTTGTGGCATACTACCTTTCCACTTCCTGCCATTTATACATATGCACTGGCAACGGCAACATGCTGCCATCCACACTAGTCGGCATAATGAGTCGCCGCGGCGCCTGCGGAAATGAGGCGCGCACTTTCAACGCATTGAAATAGTGTGTATTAACAACTGTGTTGCCAGCTGGAAAGATGTGTCCACAACTGTACAACTCCGCACTGGTGCCAGCGATCACGGCGCACACCTTCAATGCTGCAGTTTCCAAGCGCTGAACCGTTGCCTGTGTGCCGCTGTAGGCTGCAAGGCGATAACGGTAGGCTACATAAACACGATAACTGCTGACCGGTGTGCGCGATATCTGAAAATTACAGCAGAACTGTTTGTCGTAACACAGCGTTGCATTTACGGCTGTGAAGTCGATGTCCAGTAATTGTGTCTGAAAAATGTCCACATTGTAATCGCGTTGAAGATCGAGTTTGGTGAGACGCGGTGTAGTGACCTGCGGTATGAAATTGGACTGTGGCACCGGCGACGCTTGATAATTTTGGCGGTAGGCGCGTTTGAGCACGCTCGCGGTAAGCAGTTGTGTGGTGGGTTGCTCATAAATTACCGCTTTCAGACGTCCCAGTCGTCCGGCATAAATACCTGAACCGCTAGTTTGTCCGCTGGGATTGCTAGCGTCTGCGGCAAGTAAGTTGACGTCGTTTGCGAACGCCCAACCCTCCTGCAACTGCACGGCTGTGAGGAAGGGCAGCTCGTTAAACCAGTGTGTTGCATAGATTATATCTGTTATTCCAAGCTCTTTGATCAACGCTTGCGCCGGTTGCCAGAAGAGAAAATCGGAACCTATAAAATGTCCGAAAGTCACACCGAAATCGGTAGTAAATGTCGCCAGCTGCGGTTGTGGCAGCACATTCACGCTATACCATTCATAACGAAAGAGATTGGTCTTACGGTAACGCGATATGACGCGCCCCTGTCGATCGAACACCACATTTGTGCTGTAGGTGTTTATGCCGCTCACATTGCAATGACCAACAGGTAGCGGATCATTAGCACAGTAGACTTTCTCCTTCACATGTATCACCAAATATAATTGACGCGAACGCGCTGCACAAGACAATTCTGTGAGAATGAAGTCGTAATCTGGCACATCACATGGTGTAATATTGAGCGCTGGATCCGGCACATAAGTCAGTAAGGAGTAGTCGTTTAGCACATATTCGGGAAAAACGAGTATGTCCAAGCCGCTGGTAAGATTCGATTCGATAATGCCTTTAACGCGTCTGAGCGCATCTTTGGCTTTCGGTTGTCCCTCACCGGGTGATGGTATAAATTCAACCACACCGGCACTATACGTGGGATCTGTAGGCAATGAGTGCTAAGAAATAGAGAAGAGAAAAGCATGTAGAGGGAGATGTAAAGACAAATATAAATTAGGCAGGATTGAATTCAAAGATGTAAAATGTGATTGATGCGTTGACTAGAGGAATTTACTGGATTACACTAGCTTGTTATTCTGAATAGATTTATAAACTGCTGATGAAAGTTTCTCTGCACACAAGTTCTAGATACGATCGTACTCTAGACAATCAGCTGACTCTCAAGATTTGCCTGATTTGTTGCCTGAAGTTATGCGTTCTTTTCCAATAATTGTCATACCATGATGAGCTCTGTTTAACTTACAACACTATGGTAATATGTGGTGGGTTCCTTACAAGTGAAAGCTCTTAAGTATCTCAGCTATTACAAAGAAGTCTTATCGTGAAGACAGATCATTGGAGACTATATCTTTTTCAATGATATTTCTGTCGCTACATTCCTAATACCTCTACGACTCCTCGAAGTTTTCAATTTTAATCATTCTCGTTGTAGTATTAGTTTTTCATATTAAGCTTATTTTATAGATATAAAGATATTTTATCAATTATGAGAAGATCTCTTCTTCTTTTGAGCGTCATCCTTAAGAGCAGTTGATCTAAAGTAAAGACGTGTGTTTTAAGATATGACACTTTTAACACAAGGTTTGCCATTTTCGTTTGTTACCATCCTGTTTGAGAATCGATTCTCTAAAGTTCTCAGTTCAAGAATCGTGTGCTTTTCAGTTCATAGAAAGAGTTTTTTGTTGATAAACAACAAGTGGATGTCTCTTATAGGTATTTTATAAAATTCATCGGGCTATGATGCTTTCAGCTCTAAACATTTGTGAAAGGGGAACTTCGATCCATTTTTGCCATAGAAGCATGCGCAATTCTTAAGGCATTTTTTTTATAATTATCTACAATAAAACTGGGTAGATACCGCACGCCTTTTCACTTGGCTTACAAAATTTTTATTTTCCTATAGTATAAACAATTACCTGTAGGCTTGACTGAGTTCCTACGATTACTAGTATGAGTAACACGCAACATAAGCGCAGCTCGTGAATGCACATCTTTATTTAATATACTCTAAAAGGCGACTGTTACTAGTCTCTGGTGCTCGAAATGCAGCTATAAGTGCTTATATTAAAGAAAAATACGATTTCTTCATACTTCGCGCTGAAAAAAAAATTGCAAACAAACAAAAAGAAAGTATACAGTTAAGGGCCATTGAGAGATCCAGCGAAAGAGGTTTGGTATTCCTTCAATGCTTTAGAGCAGTAAACGTTGATTTAGTATATTCTTTTTTGAGCGTTATAATTCTTAAAAGCAGTCTTCGCACACATAACCTCTCCCAACACAGCTTTTGCTATGTTACCTAGACTTCGGTCCCGAATTTTCTTACTTAGTGTTATCTTAGGCAAATATAGAATATAGCATGACCGTGGTATTTGTTTCCTTCCACTGTCATATATTTTATAATCGTTTATAATCGTGGTAAATATTCACTGACAATAAAAAATATTGCGATAAGCATGCGCTTAAATTATGGTGGAAAGTAAATTTTGTATAAATGTTTACGATATTTATTTTAATTGAAAGTGGGTTGGTTGATTTCTTTATGTATGAGTTACAAAGTTAATAAGAAATAATAAAAACACATTAAACAATACAAAATTTAAGTTAAAGGGTAATGATGGTAAAAAGTGCAAATAAAAATATATAAAAATTTTAAAAAAATAAGAAAAAAAAATGGAAATTAAAAAATTAAAAAAAAAAATTTAAATAAAAAATTCCAATTAAAAATTAAAAACAAAAATAATATTAAAAAAATAAATCATTAAAATTCTATTCAAATAACTTAAAGCATGTGATCGCTATAACACTAAAATATTTAGTAATAAATAAACAAAATATAAAACGTAATAAATTAAATACAAAAAAAACATTTTGTTATTTGTATATTGGTAAGAAAAGAGCTTGAGCTTCTTTAATTTAACATGCCCGCAGAACAAACAATTTAGAGGCGTTAAATACAACGAACTTGAATGCCCATTGACTGGGCGATTTATCGAAATCAACGAGTCGACAAACTTTGCACGCGATGTGTCCATGTTTAGGTGTAAAACATGAGGCGGCGCGCTGTCTTTTTGCAAATAAAGATTGTCCATCGATTTAATCAAATTCCGGAAAAATAGTCGGTAAATATCGTGTTATAACACTCCCCATTAATGGTAAATTACGCTTACTGCAGCACACGAGGATTTAACTCACCCCAATAGCGACAATTTTGTTTGTTGACGAAGCCATTAAGCCAGAAATGGACTTCAACTGAGAAGATGATTTTTTGATGAACGTGAATTTATGAATTTTACAGAGCATGTTAATTTACGTAATAATCTTGGACAATTTCCAAGCGTTATACCAGAGTGCAACGTGAAATGATGAAATGGCAAATCTTACTAAACACACGGACAAAATTTGACACAAGTCTGTAAACAAATATAGCCACTACGAGCTGTCAAAATCACCTCATCCCTACTGGTAGACGCTGTATGATAAAAAATAAAACGATTTGCATAACTATAAAAATACGATTAACATAGACATTATCATTTATACCAAGTATTAAAAATTTTAAAATTATTACAGCAACATACAAAAGAGTACAAAAAGATATTTAAACAAATTTTATAATATTATAGAGAAGTCTTTATTAATCAATCATTGCTACATGAAATATAGGTCCCATTTTTGGCATCGGTTCCACAAAACCTAGACAAAATATTTCCCCAACCCTTGAATGAACAATGTGTAAAGCGCTTAACCTAGAACAACTGGCTAAGCGCCACTAACACCAAACCTACTAAAAGCTTCACTTCGCCAAGTTTAGAAGCACCAGAATTAGGTACTCGCACAGGCTGCCACACCGGATCGAAATTATGCGTGCTCACCTCAGTCGAATAGTAATTACCCCAAATGCCAAAGGTCAGTATATCCAGTTTGGGATATGTCAAGCTTATGGAGATCGCAGTAGTGTTGTTGCTACGCGCATTTTGAGAAATTATAAAAATTATTGTACTTAAATGCATATACAAAACCTACCTCTCAAATTCCTGCCACTCATAAGTGTGCACCGGCAGTGGCATAATGCTGCCATCCACACTAGACGGCATAATGAGGCGTCGCGGCGCATGTGGGAATGAAGCGCTTACATTCAATGCACTAAAATAGTAAGTATTACCAACTGTAACGCCAGCTGGAAAGATGTGACCACAGCTGTACAAATTCGCATTGGTGCAAGCGATTACAGCGCACACTTTCAAAGCCGCCGGATCGACACGCTGGTGTGTGACGCTTGAGCCGCTGTAAGCTGCGAGCCGATAGCGGTACGCTGCGTAAGTACTTACGCTACTGACAATGTTGCGCGAAGCCTGAAAATGACAGCAGAACTGACTATCGTAGCATAGAGTTTCATTCACTGTCGTGAAGTCGGCGGGCAGCAACTGAGTTTTAAAAATGTCCACATTGTAGTCGCGGAGCAGGGCAAGTTTGGTAAAACGCGATGTGCTGACTTGCGGCACAAAGTTGGGCTGTATAACTGGTGGCGCTTGATAGTTCTGACGGTAGCCGCGTTTTGGTACGCTCGCAGTGAGCAGCTGTGTGGTGGGTTCTTCATAAGTGACCGCTACTAGGCGTCCCAAGCGCCCAGCATAAATACCCGAACCGGAATTCTGTCCACTGGGCTTGCTAGCGTCTGCGGCTAGCAAGTTCACATCGTTAGCGAATGCCCAACCCTCTTGCAGCTGCACGGCTGTGAGGAAGGGCAGCTCATTGAACCAATAAGTTGTGTAAATAATATCTGTAATGCCATGCTCTTTCACCAATACCTCTGGGGGTTCCCAGTAAAGCATGTCAAAGCATATAAAGTGGCCAAAAGTTACGCCGAAATCGGTGGTGAAAGTGGCAAGTTCCGCTTGTGGCAATACATTCACATCGTACCACTCGTAGCGGTAGAGGTGTGTCTTGCGATAACGCGAAATGACACGCCCCTGCCGATCGAACACCACATTGGTATTATAACTGTTTAAACCACTGGCGTCGCAACGTCCAACCGCTGTGGTGTCGTTGGCGCAAAACACTTTCTCCATCAAATTGACGACCAAATAGAGTTGACGTGAACGGGCGGCGCATGATAGTTCCGTTAGAAAGTGATCATAACTGGGTATTTCACAAGGTGCTATCTGCAGCTTGGGATCGGGCACAAAAGTGCGGAACGTCGGGTCATTCAGTACGAACTCGGGAAATACTAGTATATCTAAATCGCGTGTGCCATCCGATTCGATGACCTCTTTCATACGCTTGAGGCTTTCCTGGACCTTAGATTTTCCTTTGCCCACACCCGGTATATATTCGACCACACCAGCCTGATAGGTGGGATCGGTGGGTAGCGAGAGCTGCAAAATGTAGAAGTGGAATGGTGAACAGAAAAGTTGACAGTAGCTAAAGTTAGCTCTTAGTTTCCTCCTCTTGTTTTATAAACCATAAATACCTGCCAGGTTTGCTGCGGTCCTATGACGATTGCTAAGAAAAGCAATAATCTGCCTAAACTTTGTACTGTACGCATTCTGCTTGGTATCCCGGTGTGGCTGCGCGACGGTTCTTTCGTTTATATACTAATTCTCCAAGCGTTACGCTTTATAAATCAAATTTGATGTAAGACCGTCATAAAATCTTTGTTAATCTTATCAGCAAGCATTTTAATATTAAGATTATTATCAAAAATTTTAATTGCCATTTTTAATAGACCAATGGGATTTGCCTTCGTCAAATGAAGTAAATTATGCCAACGATGTATTTGAAGTACATTTAGCAACTTAATTACTTTGTAGGTATTGCGTTCAATTATTTAGAATGAATGCAATCCACAACGTAATTTTGTTACTTATTTGCTAGGTTTTATTTTTACCTCAAAAAGAAAAAAAGTGGAAATATATAATATATCCAAATACAAATAAATGCAAACATAATCTCTATAATCTTTACAGTTGAAGGTTAGAGTAAAATGACAAGATCAGCCATTTTTAAGATAGTAAACTCGGATTCGCATAGAGATGGCCTCGAAATAACTGGTTTCCTGGTAAAATCACCTGTGGAAATTTACAGTTCTAAGGGAAGCGAACTTGACTTATGACTGTCTATACTGAGATTGCTGCTGAGAAACTGTCCTATTTAAGATAGTTAACATGGATTCACATGGAGATGGACAAAAAGCAGCGCATGAATATAAAAAGTATACAATTCTGCTAAACCAACACCGTTGAAGTAAGTTGTGGCTTAAGTGGGTTAAGAAGTGTTTAGAAACTTAGCCTTTCGACTTTTGGCATCGCCGCTGTAATTATTGTGTACTTTGTACACAAACAGAGCGTCTCAGACCATTTTTCATAGCAAGCAAGTCAGTTTTCAGAAGTGACTATTAACCGCAGAAACTTAGTTTTGGGGAACACTGGTAAATTTTACGAAGTGGCCAGGTAAGAACCTTCAGCTGAGTTTTAACTAGTAAAAGATCTATACTAATTGGGTATTAAAATTGGTCCTCGGAGCACGATGGCGTACCTGATATCATGATTATAAATCATTTGAAGCTGAACGCTTATAAGCAAGGTTCTAACCGATGCCTTCAAGAGTACACTTAAATACTCAGGTGGTGTGATCTCTACCTGGTTGCTTAATTATTACCCTACCAGTGTGTACTGTTATCACAGCATTTGACGGTGTGAGCTACCTTGTTTTTGCTTTTTAAATAATTAATGACCAACAGCATATAAACAAACATTGAAGGTAGAACTTCACTAACTACCAACATAAAAACATAAATATATTGTAGATACACACACACATATATATGCGTTGATCCACAAACCTACATATATCATTGGCAAGCAACAGTGTCAAAAACAACAAAAAACATATTAAAAATAAAGTAAACGAGTAGAAATTTCCCGCAAGTTCATAAAAAATGCATATGACATCTTTACAGAGCAGGAGAGTGAAAGAGCACACAAGTCAACAGTGTTGCGACAACAAGGATGCCCAAGGTAGCAAAACAGAGTAACTCGCACATATACAATAAAATTTACGCAAATTTCTCAACCATTTGACATGTGAACGATACTTTCTATTGCGTTTTTCCGTTACTACAGGGTTATTTTCTCTGCGCTCTCATACGCCAACAGTTTTGCGCTCTTCATGCTGGAAGCATTATTTTTTGTAGACTTTCCAGCATCGACATATGGACGACCGACGCCACTGTTAGACTGTGCCGTTAGCTATCCGTTTGGTCACTTAGCCGCACTGTCGTACTAGCTGGCGCCAATTGTTGTTCGACGTTTGGGCTGGCCTGATCTTGTGTTGGCCGACACATCGTGTTAGCGGACGCCGGACTTCAAACATATGTAGTTCGGTCGCCTACATGTACTAGTTCTCATTTCCGTAATTTTTGTTTTTTTCGCTATTGAAATCCCAGTTTGTTGTGCTACTTTGAGGGAAAATAGCGAATTTCCAACAGGTAGCCAGGCAAAGCACACTTATTCACACGCATATGTGTGTACATGTGTATGCATATGTTACATATACATATCTATCTGTCATATGTTTCCACATGTTCTCTTTTGCGTGGCTCACGCGTATAGGTGTTTGTATGTGTGCTTGTTTGCTTAGCATATTTTCTGGCGTAAGCGTCGGTGTGTTTGCTTTGCTTGCTGTTTGAGTTCGCTCTTTTAAGTGGTATTTGTTGTTTTAGCAGTTCCTTTGTCGTCCGTTTGCCCTTTTGGGCAGTGTTGTTATATTGTTTTTGTTTTATATGTGTGCTGCCAAGCTGTTGCTTTGCTAGTTGGCTTTGTTATTTGCCGGCGCAGGCACAGTGGCGTTATTTTTAATAACGAATAAAATATAAAAAAAATATATATATATAGTATTATTATAAATTTAGTACTTAACATATATAAAAATATTGTAGTACAAAATTAAGTGAAAAATAAATCATATAAACTTTACTTCAGTAAATCAAAAATAAATATAATAAATTTAAATGTGCATAAAAATAATGTAGTACTAAAACAATAAAAAAAATTTTATAAAACTTTAGTGTAATAAAAAATTTTACAGTAATAAATGTAGTACTAAAATGTACATAAAAATGTTCCAGGACGAAAATATTCAAAAAAATCTTGTAAATTTTACTTCAAATTTAATGAAAATAATTTAATTATATTCTATTTAATTTAATTATAATAAATTTAGTACTTAAAAATCATAAAGTTCTTTTAGTACTGAAATATTAACTTTTAGCATAACAAAAATAAAATATACGAACTCCCATTTTTTTGAAATCTAAACAAGTTTTCGAAAAGCTTAATGCTGAAAAAATTGTTCAAAAACTGTCAATTTACATTATATAGTACTAAAAAGGTCATTTTGAAACATAGTGTATCAAAAATCATATTAATGACGAAAAAATCATATTGATGTAAGTGACAAAATTTTGAATAAAAATAAATTTCACAATACAACAACTAAATCGTTTGGTACTAAAATTTCAAGTATAAAATTTCTCGCTTTTGTAATATTAATATATGTACTAAAATTAAAATAATAAAAGTAATATTTATATACTAAATTTTGCTACATAAAATTTTATTGTAAATTACCAAGCAAAAATAAGTATTACTTCGAGTTTCATAATAGTACTAATTTTTGTAGTTTAACTTGGTTCAAACTTGGTTTATGTACTAAATTTTAGAACTAATTTATACCATATATATTTGTTTAGAGTAGAGCTCTATTGAACATTTGTGCTGAAAATACATAAAAAAATTTTAAAATTACAAATATAAAGTTTAGTACTAAATTTGTGCTAAAAAGTATACTAATAACTTTAATAATTTCATGAAAACATTTAGCTTTCACAAACTCGCAGTTAAAAGACATAAAGTAATAATCTTTGCTACTTAAAATTTAAATTTTGTAGTACATATCACTCATTATTTTAGATAAAACAATTATATATATAAATTTAATTTCTACAAATATTTGTGCTAATTTATTTATTATGCTGCTTATTTTTTTATTCTGAGTTTTAGTACAATTAATTTATAAAATTGTTTTTAATCATTTTGGCACTAAAAATCATAGATTTTCATCGGAAAATATATTAGTTGTGTTTTAGTAAAAACTGAGTGCTAGAAATTTGTTCTAAAAATTTAGAAAGAAGTCTGTATATTTGTTCTCAATTTTAGTACACTTTATTTTGTAATAAGTTTAGTACTAAAAGATCCAAAAAATTCAATTTTAATACCAAAAACGATGTATTAACTCTTAAAAGAATATTGTGTACTAAATATATGTACTAAATATTAAAATTTACTAAACTATATATTTAAAAGTTTTTGTACTAAAAACTTACATTTTAGGTATCCAAAATTATGACTTAGAATTAACTAAAAATATTGTGATAAAAATGTTGCGATAAAAGTGCGTGCTAAAAATGTGACCAAATAACAAAATATACAAATATTTGTACTAAAAAACATAGATATTTTTATTTCGTTATTTTATGCCTGATATTTTAATTATATTTATATCTACTACTTGTTTACTAAATACTAAAATTTTAGTACCCAATCTAAACTAATTTGAGTGAGTTCTAAAATTAAAAAAAAAAAAAAGGTTTACTACAAAATTTACATCATTAAAGCATTTCTTATTGTTAAACACGTTTGGCAAAATTTAGCTACTACTTTTACTTACTTTTAGTCTTAGTTTATCATTACTTTTAGTGATTACTTTTATATTTTTTATTGATACATTTTTACATATTTTTATTGATATTACATATATTGCCCACTGTGCCATTTCAAGTTAACACTTTGTAGCTCATTTCAATTTCACGTCGCGTCCATTCCCCCGGCGTCTGCGCCACTTTCTATGCCTCTCCTTTACACTCAACAAAACAAGTTTTAACGTGCAAGTTGTACACTGCTTGACACATTTGAAGCGTTGCTTTGACCCCCGGTTGTTGTTTGACCTTTTTACCTGTGTCGAGTGTCGAATGTTGGCCTCTTCAATTGACCAACAACCAGTTAAGCGCCTGATGATGATTTGTGTGCATAATGTTTGAGAGGGGAAAGCCATTTTTTCATGTCAACGCATGAAATTAGATATAACATAAATACACATAGGTCTCATATTTGTGTTTGTGTGTGTGTGTATCCAATATAGAGTATGGGTGGCTGAGAAAAAGTTTGTCGTTGTGAATACTCAAAGGTGAGTAATATAGATGAAGGTGCAGAACTTTTATTCCCGTAAGAATAATTATTGATATTATTTTTTTTCGTAGAACATTTACAATTACTCATATTTTTTATATTTACATTTTATTATTACTTTTTGTGTGTTTATTCCATTTTTATGCCCTCCAGTGACTTTAACGCTTATGCATCCTCCATGCTCTCTCTCTTTAAATCTCCTCGCCTTTACTCTACCTAATCAATGTTCCTGAAACAATAACTGTTTATTTTCTCACTTATTCACTAAGCTCTTTACATTTTGTTTCGTTTTTGTTCTTATCTCCGCTAGCACTATTATTATAACCGTAAAGCTGTTTGCTTTTATTGTTGTTATTAAATTCCTGCCGTTCACTGTCAAACACTTTCCATGCGATTTAACTCAATTTAGCTTAACAACGGTGTGAGAGGCTTAAAATGTGTAGCGCATTGCGGGAGTGGAAAAGTCGCAAACTATAAATAGCGTCGCTGGCCCAGTAGGAAAAAGTGTATGCATGAATATC